AAAATTGATTTGAGCCTGCAAAAGGCTTCCCTCTCCAACACAATGCCAGCTCGCTCGCTCTTTCGTTCTCCCCCCCTTTCCCCCGCCCGGCAACCCCGATTGAAAACGACATTTGAGGGCAGCCTGGCATAACTAATTGAATGCATAATTTACAATTAAGTACGTAAGCTACTTTAATATTTATGTCTATAAATGTGCAGGAAACGTACCTTCCGCCCACTGCTTGCCGTGAGCCCCAGTTTGCCCATTATCGACCATCATTTGTGCCAACTGCAATAAATGTCAATTATTCATGAATTTTCAATAACTTTAGCCGAGGCGAAATAGAAAAGTTTCCTTTCTTCTCAGGATGTTTTTTGGCAAGCGACGTTGAGCGGAAGCTCGGGAATGTTTTTAATAACATGTAAATATGGCCAGGGAAAAGACAGAGATAGTTGGAGAAACGCCAGGAAAGCCAGTCATCGGCGGGCGATAACTAAAGAGCACATAAAATATGATGCCAAACAATATAAAAAGGGAATTACTTGACTGGCAACGAACACTGGCGGACGGAAAAGGTCGGACGGAGCAAACAAGTTTGCTTTCGAAAGCAGCGAACGTGCTCGCCAGGCACTGCTTTAATGGTGAATAATTAACAGTTATTAATAATGACAAAAGCAGCTGCCGCCAATGCCATCGCAAGCAGCTTACAAAGGGGGAAGTCTCGCGGGGGCAGGCAGTCGCAATTTCCGAACCCCATTTGTGGGCCTTTCGATCTGAAATTCACCTATAAAATCAATAATGCTGGGAGAAGGAGCTTGGCCTCGCAAGCCGAAGCTCATATACTCTCGTAGTTCTAATTCTCTCGTCTCGTGTTTTTGGAAAACCTCAACTGTTGCTACCCTAAAATTAGGGTAAAATCAAAAAAAAGGGGCATTATCGACTTTTCTATAAAAGCTTGTTTGGGCCTTACTTTACGACTTACTCAACCACCTCAAGCTTCTAGGATGCTTTTCTATTTCGTATATTATATCAGACCGGAAGCTTGGTAAAAGTAAGGAGAATCTACAGACAAGTCAATACATATTCAATAAAAATCAAAACCATGCATGGAATAAATTATAGAAGAATTCGTCGCATTGCACAAGTACACAACCAACTTGAACTGTGAAAACATACACAAAAGCGGACATTTAAACTTAATAAAATACGCCTCAGAAAGTCTACCCCTAAGGTCCAAGATCGATGATAGGGTTACGCAAGACTGCAAAGACAGAGCCTTTTTGTAGCTCTCAAATGCACCAAGTTCACGTTGATCCAATAAACCATGCTATGAAGTTATAATTTTGTTCCATTAATTTTATATATATTTTTCTGATCTTTCCTATGGCAGCTAAGTGGTATAATAGTTAGATTTTCATAAAAATTGTTTTTCCTTTTTCCGAAAATGTTTGATTTGTAAAATTAAACTAGATTTTTCGATCAATCCTATGTCAACTGTATGATTCGAACATACTAAATTCGAAATTTAAGAGCCTTAATAAACACCATCTTTAAATTATCATGCCAATATGATAGAAAATACAGGTATAATAATTTTTTCCCCGTTATAATTATTATATTAATCGTCTGATTCCGCCCGTTCCGACTTGCATATATACAACGTGCAATATGGCTTCGGCAGTAACAACTGAGCCCACATTTAGCTCTTTAGAACAAATGTGCATCCATAAATTATCGAGGATAGCGCAGAGTTTTACCCTACGCCAGACAGCGAACTAAAAGCCAAAATAAAATAACGCCACCACTCCGTGTGAAAAATAACTCTTTGCCTTTCACCCATTGATGAATTATAACAAATACATTTTTCTCCAAAATGTGACACAGCCCAGGGCGGGCAAATGCCTGTGTGGCCTTATCAAGGCATTTGCATGGCTGGCGATGCCAAGGCAAACAATTTAACCATATCAAATTCAAATTTGCATAAATTTAAGAGACTGAGTTTTGCGGAAGCACAGGGAGAACCGAGAACAAAGTTGATTTGCACAGAAAGAAGTTGCGCTCCCAATCCCCCACTGAAAGTGAGCTTCAACCGAATCCGAATCGATTTTTTGTTACAGTCTCCGATGAGGGGTTGCCTTGCATATCGTTTTCTTGTCCGTGCGAGGGTTGTAAAATAAATGTAATGTATCAAAAATTTAATATCTCTGCATCCTCTTTTCACGTTCCCCATTAAACAATAAAACAAGCCTGTTGATTATGTGAACTGTTGCTGCTTTTTTTTAAGAGTATGTTATGAGCAGTCAAGTAAGTGAACTCAATAAAAAAAAAATAATCTTGCTGGAAAGTTTCTGAAACTACATGGTTTATTCTTTGATCCTTCAGTTACGAGCAACTGCTTGGCATCTGCAATACTGAGAACAAACTGATCGCATAGAATCAGTGCAAAAAGTCTTTTTGATTTCCCCCAGGGCCGCCTATACTGGAATTTAAATCTTTTATTGACGTGTTTTTTAAATACACTGCTTCCTATTAGCTTGCCCTACCTTATGGCAGTGATTTGGTTTATTAAATTAAATGCAGAAAGATGCTCGGTACTGTCTTTATTTACAATCTAATTCGCGGTGAGTCCTTCATTTTTGGTCGTCTAAACTTTTCGGTGCCAAGTATAATACATACAGTGACGAACATAATTATTGGCACAGTTGGGTTGTTCAACTTTGAGGCTCAGTTTCTCCTCTTAAAATGGGGATATTTACATAAAACAAAATTTATTTACATAATATAATTAATTAACAACACAACCCAGTTTATTTTAATATTTTACATCTTATAGTTAATTTTTAAAATTAAAATAACGAAAACAAGTGCCGAATCTTCCTGAATAAAATTATTGGCACACTTGCTTTTAATTTGAAATTTTGGCACAGTTTCACCGATTTGGCCAGTTTTTTTTTTAACACCTTTATTATTATCCCCTGAGTGGCATGGTATAACATTTTCCAGCTAAAAGTATCAAATTGCCTTTTTTTTAAAACCTTTTTTATACCCTTGCAGAGCAAAGGGTATTATAATTTCAGTCAGAAGTTTGCAACGCAGTGAAGGAGACACCTCAGACCCCATAAAGTATATATATTCTTGATCAGCATCACCATCTGAATCGAAATATGTATGTACGTCTGTCCGTCTGTCCGTCTGTCTGTCTGTCCTCCTGTCGGTTTCTATGTAAACTAGTCTCTCAGTTTTAAAGCTATCTCGCTGAAACTTTCCCAAAAGTTGTGTAGTTGTTGCACGCAGTATATATGTCGGAACGAGCCGGATCGGGCGACTATATCGGATAGCTCCCATACAAGAGAATGAAATAAAAAAATTTTACACCGTTGTTTTTGATCAGATCGACTTGATTCCTTCCAGATGGCGTTTTCTAACTGCTATTGAATTTCGGATTAAATTTTATCAAAATCGGATAACTCTATCATATAGCTGCCATAGGAGAGATCAAAATATATATATATAAATAATGGAAAAAAATTATAATGTCCTTGTTTTTAATGCCACGAGCATGATTTTTGGAACATAAAGTTTTTTAAATACTCTTAAGTTGAGAAAAAAATTTCATAAAAATCGGAGTACTATATCATAGAGCTGCCATAGGAAAGATCGAAAAATCTATATAGAAATAACGGAAATATAATTATAACCTCGTTGTTTTTCATCAGGCAATAATGATTTTTGGAATATAGAGTTTTCTAATGAGTCTTGAGTTACAAATTAAATTTCATTAAAATCGGACGAGTATATTATATAGCTGTCATATGAACAATATGGAAAATTAATAGAAAAATCCTCATAGCTTCGATGCTCTTTAGCTTTTATGTATTTTGTTCGACATATTTAGTAACTGCAAGGGTATATAAGCTTCGGCTTGCCGAAGCTAGCTTCCTTTCTTGTTTTTCATAAAATAAGAGGTAAACATAAGGACTCTACATTATCGGACCGGAAAATTATTTGGAATTTCCACAATCTTGGAATTATGTTCCTTAATTTTGGTAACCTGCATAAGCCATTCAAAGTACTATACTCTGACTATAATCAACTCCAGACTTTAATACACTCTTATAAATGAACACAGCCCTGCTTTATCGAAATTGCAGACCGCGGGTCCTACGAGGGTGGACAGACTTAGATATCGGCAACAAAGAGGCACTGAGTAAAGTTGGTGCATATTAATGGAGCTGCTCTCAGCACAATTTAATAGTTAGATCCTGCTGACACCAACAAGTTTGTAAAAAACAAATTGCCGTGCTTTCATAAACTGGCTATTTCTGAGCTTTTACCCTTTTAAAATGGGTCTTGCGCGTGTTAAGTGACAAATTTGGTGCAAAGTATAAGAGTGCTTGGTGCCAAATCCGTGCCAACTATCGCGGAAAATCTCAACCATGCTTAGGTAACTGCAACAAGTTTAAAATTTCAGTCCTCATCAGGTAAGTGCACTGCAAGAATTGGATCAGCGAGCCAAAATATGATAGAAATAAACCTGGGTTTGGTTGACCAAAAGTCAAAAGTCTTAATTGACTTGAGAACAAGAAAGGAAGCTAGCTTCGTCAAGCCGAAGCTTATATACGATTAATACGATTAAAATAAATAATGGCTAAACAACATCGAAGCTATGAAATTTTTCTATTAATTTTCCATGAATACTCTACAGATATAATATATATTTAAGCATATACCAACATCAAAAGGTTTCATATTTTCTTAGTTGCAAAACAGTAGCGTGATACTGATCAAATATATACTTAATTATGGTAACAACAGTGGCACCGTACTGCTTTCCAAACTTCTGACTGAAATTATACTTTTCGCAAGGGTAAAAAAATACTAACTGAATATTTTTCAAAATTGCGTCTTTAAAGTCATGGCCTTCAGCCAGCAAAAAGGTCTTCCAAAAGCAAAAGCTAAAATATAAAAAACTGTGAAAAAATAGCCTCTAGCAAGTTGGGCCAACAAAAAGACGAGAGTTTTCAAAACAGAAACGATATGGTTTATTAAATATTTGGGGCCCGGGGCGTGTTCTGAGCAAACAAGCTGGCTTAAACGGCGAGGAGTAGTTGAATTTAGAGCCAGGGAAGTGTAGGAAAAATGCAAATGATTTTTGAAGGCTTGAGCACATAGGATAAAGTCCCATCCCATACTGCTCTAAGCGTTGGGCTGAGGTCTCCGCGTCCTTATTGCCTCGAGCCAGTCCCCAACCTCCCGACTCTGCCCCAGAATGGGCTCATACCCGTTCCCCAAATCCAGGTCCAGGTCGTCGTCCTCCTCGTCCTTATAAGCCAATGGCTGGACTCCTAGCCGCACTGCCACCTTGTAAATGGTGAACGTGAGCAGGCTCATTAGCCATCCGCACACGGCTCCGAAGGCCACGCAAGTGGCAACCTTGATCAGCACTCCAAAGTCAGAGTGTAAGTGGTAGTGGAAAATGGTGAGCTGCTCTCTTAAATAGTCCTGGTACTCCATTTCCCTACTCGAAATTTTAAATTGTCGTCACTTACGAATTGAGTGAGTGATAACTACATGCATTGTCGATTTATATGGACTCTTTGGGGTTGACAAATTTGAACAAATAAATGTGCATGCATATCTGTTCAAAAATTGTCAACTCTGGAAAAGTAGTCATCAGTAACTCAGCTCCACAGGAAAAAAATAGAAAAATGTTTCCCAACCCTATTCAAATTGTTTGTTTCCGAGTGGTACAACCCATCATTGATTTTCTGGGCTACCTGCTGAACGAAGTCCACTTCTTGGCGTTCCTAGCTGGGCTGGCTTTTCTTGGGATTTTCCTGGGACTCATCTTTGGTACCATAACCGTTATCTGGTACAAGTCCACACGCGATGGAAAAATTAAGGACTGTTGTGCCGAAAAAGAGTCGCTGGATGTGAAGAAGAACAATTGAGATGTCGTTGTCGTTTTTAAATAAGAACAGCTCTTGTGTTTGTGAAGATCCATATTAAATATTAAAATGTTTCCTAGATATTGTGTGACTGCGGGGTTCCATCCCCTCAAAAAACACTAAACATATTTAATTAGCAGTTATGTTATAAAGTTATTATTATTATTGCTTGCAGCTGCGGTCAAAAAATTTTAGTATATTGATGAACAACGAAGAAAAACTTATTAAGCTATTTTCGATTTTGATTTTAATTTTCACAGAAGCATAACTTACAACAAATGTAAATAATACTTAGCAAAATATAATTATCGGATCTTCAAAAAATTGATTAGTTGAATATCAGCACCATGACTTTGTACAGCATCCCAAAGATGAAAGCTGTTGTTGGTTGGTTTTATTTCTGATACTGCCCTCTTCACGTCACTTCATAAATTTTTACTTAGATTGAGATCGGCGGCCAGTCCGTGATGATGATGATGATCCTTGGCCAACTTGATTGTGAGTTTTGAATCGTTGTCCGTGAGGCATTTGGTAACATTACGTCGCCCAAAGCTTTTAGATAGAGTTGTCGATCCATAGTGGTATACTGGTCAAGCTTAATGGTACGAAAAACTTGCCCAAATCATGATCAGAGAACCGCCATGATTAAAAGTTTTGAGTGTATGCTTTGGAGCCAATTCAGCAAGGTCGGTCGTCTAACATATTGTCGTGACCCACAGCCACCAAACAAAACAATTTTGGACCCATTCGACCAGTTGCTCCTTCTCTTTCTCAGTGGCCAGTTTAAATGTTCTTCAGCAAACTGTAAGCAAGTCGACCTAGCGTTTCTTTTCCTGGCTCATATAAAACTGAATCTCTTTTCATTGTAAAAGAGCAATCTATAATTTTTTGGACTTCGAGATAGGATTATTATTATTAGGTGGCACTACAACCCGATTCGGGTTTTGGCTGACCTCAGCGTCTCCCACCAGGCGCCTCTGCTCTTCGCGTGCCTCCTCCAATCGGAAACACCCAGTGCAGTCAGGTCCTCCTCCACTTGGTCCTTCCATCGGAGCTTTGGTCGTCCCCTTCGTCGTCGCCCGTATTCGACGCTCGCTTCAAATACCTTCTGAGCTGGAGATTCATCATCCATTCGCACGACGTGGCCGAACCAGCGCAGACGTTGTATCGTGATGCGCCGGACCACGTCCACGTCGTCGTACAACTCGTATAGGTCGTGGTTCATCCGAATGCGAAAGTCGTCCCCAATCCGAACGGGACCAAAGATCTTGCGAAGAACACTCCAAGCGCTGCTGCATCCGTCAGTGACATTACCCGTGCTTCTGCGCCATATAAGAGCACGGGTAAGATGAGTGTCTTATTAAGTGTCAATTTTTTTCTGTGAGTTCAGACCAAAGTAACACCTATTGGCAAGTGTGATTCTTCGCTTAATCTCCAGGCTGACGTCATTTTCGGCATTAATGGCAGTGCCAAGGTACGTGAACTCCTTGACCACTTCGAAGTTATAGCTATCCGCTACCACGTGGGTGTCTACTTCGTCTTGCTCTAGTTTACCGCCAAACCCACTTTTGCCGACTCTTTTATATAAAGCGGAAAATGCAGCAGTGACATCACGCTTGTTGCGGCCAATGATGTCAAAGAAGTTCGCCGGGGTTTGCTAGTTTCTTTATAGATTTTACTATTTTTCGTATGGCAGCTATATGATAACGTTGTCGGATATTATTGAAATTTTTTTCTAAATTCAAGGGTTATTAAAAAGCTCCATATTTCGAAAACCATGCTCGTGGGATTAAAAACTACGATGTTATAATTTTTTTCCATTATATATATATATATTTTTCGATCATTCCTATGACAGCTATATGATAGAGTTATCCGATTTTGATTAAATTTAATCCGAAATTTAATAGTAGTTAGTTAGTTAGTAGTAGTTAGTTGAAAAAAATCAAGTCGATCAGTTAAAGTGCAACGGCGTGAGAATTTTTTATTTTATTCTCTCGTATGAGAGCCATCCGATATAATCGGCCGATCCGGCCCGTTCCGACTTATAAACTGCGTGCAATAACTACATAACTATTGGTAAAATTATAGCAAGATAGCTTTAAAACGGAGAGACTAGTTTAAAGAGAAACAGATAAACGGACAGACGTACAGGCGTATTTCTATTCAGATCGTGAAGCGGATCAAGAATATATTAGGTTGACATACCGGTTTTTTCATTCAAATTTCGCGCTTCGCTTGTGAAGTCAAATACAATCGTATCTGGCAATGCTGTATATCGTTTGAAAGGTATTGGCTTCACCTTTAAACATATACATAGTTTGTTTACATGAGCTTCCACGTTAAAAATTACAATCGATTGAAATGGAGTTCACAAACGCAGAAATTCGGGCAATTTTGAAATTTTATTTCGCACAGGGAAAAACTGCTGCGGAATCTCGCAGACAGATTATTGCTGCCTTAGGAGATAACAAACTTTCTATTCAAACCGCCGAACAGTGGTTTAGGCGGTTCCGAAATATACAAGCCTTCCGGACGACCAGTGACCGTTGATACGGATAAAATCATGGAAATAGTGGATCGAGATCGTCATGTGACTATTAGAACCATCGCAGAGGAGCTGCACGGAAACCGTCCATAGGCATTTAAAGTCGAAAAATGTAACAAAAAAGCTCGATGTATGGGTGCCTCATAAGTTATCCCAAAAAAAATAAAAAAACCTTTTCGACCGTGTATCAATCTGCGAATCTTTGTTGCACCGTAATAAACTCGACTTAATTCTGGATCGGTTAGTCACTGGTGATGAAAAATGGATCACATATGAGAGCTTAAAGCGTAAAAGATCCTGGTCGACGCACGGTGAGTCGTCTCAAACAGTGGCAAAGCCAGGACTGACGGCTATCAGAGAAATCATCCATTATGAAGTGTTGCCCTATGGCCAAACCATCAATTCTGACCGGTCTGAAGCGGCCAGCCATGGTGAATCGTAAGGGCGTTGTGTTCCATCATGACAACGCCAGGCCCCATACATCTTCGGTGACGCGTCACAAGCTACGGGAGCTTGGTTGGGAAGTGTTAATGGATCCACCTTATAGCGCCAAGCGATTGCCATCTGTTTTTGGCCTTGCAAAATTTTTTCGATGGACAAAAATTGAGTTCCAGGGAGGATTGTGAAAATCGAATCGTCGAGTTTTTTGCCAGTAGGGACAAGGACTTCTTTAGGAGAGTCATATACAAGTTACCATCAAAATGGTAGAAAATCATCGAAGACAACGGTACATATAGCACTTAAATCGGACAATGCTAACTATGTTAAAATCGTCGTCAAAAATCAATAAAGAAACCAGTATGTCATTACCAAACAACCTAATATATACTTTTTGGGGTCTGAGGTGTCTCCTTCACTGCGTTGCAAACTTCTGATTGAAATTAAACTCTTTTGCTCTGCAGGGGTAAAAAATATAGAGGGGGGTTATATTTCAACATTGACATTAGGTGAAAAGGTACTTTTTGATCGAGTACCTGGCATTATTGCAGATTTTCAGTTCTTTTAAACTATTTCATCTACCGAATACCATTGCCGTCCTCAACGATATCTTTCATCCATCAAGATACAGAGCATTAAAAACACATTTTAAACTTTTACTTTTAAAAAGGAAATGCAAGTTCGACAATAAAATTCTCAGACACTTGGCCGAAACTATAATAGTCAAACCTTTCCTTAAAGGTGGTGCTTTGTCGAGACCCTTTAAATTGATCAAAGAAGAAAGGGGGATAACTTGGCAGAAGGTTATCTCAAAGGACACAGTTTTACGATGTAGCAGACAAGCCCCAAAGGCGCAAAGATAATTTAAGTGCTCGGTTATTTAACGGAGTTCATAAACAGGACTTTCGATAAAAGTCAAAACCGACAGTGGTATTTTTGTAACAAAAAATGCATAACACGGCCAAGGAGGAAGAGCGCAGAAAATGGCAGTCGGCCAATTTGGAATTCCCGACTTTATTAAAATTTTGACATCCCAAAAAAGCGGGAGACGACGGGAACGGACAGAGGGAGCGGATGATTGGTTTTGTCGTAGTCGTCTGGCGCAGCGAACCAACAAATAGCGAAGCAACAAAATGGCCAAAGTTTCAGCGAATGGTAAACTTTTCACTGCAAATGCAGGGCCCAAGTCAACAGAAATAGCAAGAAAGGTAGTTTGAGAAAAATTAAGTTTCTGCGCCGCTGCGTTGGCAAAGAGAAGACGTCACAAGCGGTCAAATTAAAAGCGAAGTGCAAATAAGGGACCCTGAAAACCCAAACAATATTTAAATTTTCCGGTTTTCATAAAACAAAAACTACATTAAAGTACCCATCATATACACATTTTGAAAAATATTTTTTCTTTAATATTAAAGTGTTTCCTTTATTAACGTCCCTTCGAATTTAAAAGGGTGTATTTATTAGAAGTTGAAGCATATTAACTGTATAAAAAAATTATCGCTGTTAACAAGAACCTTCGCTAAAACTTGACAAACCGAATTATGAAAAAGTAAGCCTAAGAGGCGCATAAATAAAATTTAGTACTGCGTTCTTTAAATAGTAACAGCAGAATGAAAAATATTTAAATTGAAATAATTTAAAATAAAATTAGTGGAAAACCAAGTATTAAGTAAAAGGCAATCTAACAAACAAAGAAATGAGAAAGTTTTAGTATATTAAATCTGGGCCAAAGTAAGGTTAAGGTACACATACTTAAGGGGTTATATACCTTTTTCAGACTCAAAAAATCGAAAAAAATTTTATGATGTTTTTTTGATGTACATACTTTCAACAATTTTTCTGCAAAATTTTTTAGAGATCGGGGCACTAGAACCTAAGATACAGTCGTTCATAGCGCACGGTGTGCATGACTACCTAATGTCCACCTAAAACTTTAACCGCGATTATCTCGGAGTCGCATTTTTGAGAAAAGGTCATTGCGGTGAGCACGATATCTCGGTAACCACTACATCGATCGATTTGAAATTTTGGGGGATTGTTTGTAGATACAATAGCTAGTTCGTGAACGAAGGAATTTTTTTTTCGAGAAATTTTTCTATTTTTTTGGGGCGAAAAACTAAATTATTAGACCTCGAAAAATCGGTTTTTTTGAAAAAATAATCACTGTAACTGTAAAAAAATTTTTTTCGTAAAATCCTTCGTTCACGAACTAGGTAACACTATATACTAACGTAGTTTTTTTTCATTTTTTTTTTAAGTTGAGCCGTTTTCTTGTTTTCATGCTCACCGCAAGCCTCTAATGAAAAAAGGACTTCTGCGGGAAGGACTATAACTTCCACAATACTCAAAATTTTCACTCGAAATTTTATACGAATTAAGTTAAGGACACGTACTTTGATAAAATTTTTATTGAATTTAAATAAAACAATGGTAACATGCTAAAAAAAATAAATAAAAACCATGCATTTCTCTGGTGAAAAAGGTATATAACCCCTTAAGGTACTTGACATCGTTACCACCTAGCCACGCATCAAGGTTGAATTGTTCTTGTAAATGCAGACATTAGAGTTAAACGAGATATAACCCATATACTGTCTGTGACCAATATAAGTCTTGGGTTGTAGCCGCTGCGGAAAATGAGGCAGGAGTGGTGGAAATTCAGACTTTCTGGGCCGGATTTCGACGAAGCTAGCGAATTCGTACTTTAAGCTCGACCAAAGGTAAAACGAAAATGGGAAGAACGGCAAGCAGTTCCTGAGGTGCTTAGTCGGGCGGCTGATGAGTCCTTCGGTTGGTTGTTACCCAACTGGTGGCTCGGTGGTTTTTGCGTGTATTGTGGAATTTCCTGTCAAGCTAATTTCCTTTGGGTGCTGGTGCTTGGTTGGGACTGCGCTGCACAGCCCGAGTTGGCAGCCCATTGAATCGATTCACCTGCATGCATAAAATATTTTCACAGAAAAACCGGGTGCACACACAAACACATTACACCCATTCACGTGGTAAAGTGTACGTACATGCAAAATATTTACAACATTGCATATTTTATGGTTTATTGACTGCAGTGTCCCGTTCTTCCTCCTGCGCTCATGCTTTATAGATTGTAAATGTCCCCACATGCCTCCGTTTCCAGTTATGTACTTCGCGCAGTTGACACAAAATAAGCGCCGTGCATGTACATATGTGTGGTGGCCCACAGGGTACTTTCCCCTTGCAGTCGTACTTCTGCGTGTGTATTTGTTTCGTTTTTCATTTTCAACCTTGACTTGTTTGCAGGAGCTCTTGGAGTAACGTGTCGCTACATTCGGGAATTGTTTTCTATGGCACGAACCCACCACATAACATAACATTCATGTTATTCATACACGTTATGGAGGTACACGCCGCGGGGCGCCATGTTGGACCATTTCGGTCCCCTGGCGGAGGTTTTAAATATACTATATATGTATGTGTGTGAAAAGGTGTCGAGTGCTGTACAGATCCCAACAGGAGGTGAAATATGGGAGCTCTAAAAGCATTTTGTGTGTTTAAACATTTGTAATTTGTCGTCAGAAGTCGAAAAAACGAAACAACTAATTGGCCCCAACATCTGCCTTCGGAATTATTTAAGGTTTTGTTTTTGTTTTAATAGTAATAAGTGTTGCATTTTTGTGACCGACTGAAGACATTTGTATCTTATTAAAAACATTTCTGCTAAATATTCGTTTTCAAAGAAAATCAAAATTTTCCTTGGTAATCCTCCTTTCCCTTACAGTTTCAACTAAAATCTATTTTTTTAGTTATATTTCGGTAAACCACAAAAAACGTGTATTTTGATTTCGCCATATTAATATTGATTTTTTTCAAATCAATATTTTGAACTCAAATATTTTTTAGAATATAAAAATTGTTTTAAAAGTATTCTTTTCTCCAAAACCAACTTTAAACTTTAAGTCAATTGGTGAAAAGTGTTATCAAAATCCATAAACCCTTTCGCATTCTTTACTCTGCATCGAATAACGGTTTTAAAAATTTACCAAAGTTAGCCATTTTTAAACTTGTTTAAGGTTGAGCTCAATAAAAGCTTAGCCCTGCCATTCATAGCCGCACCCACGGACAATCCCGTTAATTCTCGGCATTTAAACACTAAAGTGGCGAGCTTACAAGCGATGCAAGTACCAAGGCTCATTTCAGCAAATATTGTTAGTGTGTTCGTTGTTAGTGGAGATGTGCAGGAGAAAGTAGCCAGAGGTTTGGCAATCGTCTACATCTTTTGCTTCTGCTCCTGAGTGCAAACATTTACCAAATAAAAATGATTAGGAACGTGACTAAGAGTGCGAAAAATGTTATTTACTTTGCTGATGTGAGCTTTGAGCTATCAAATTCAACAGAGCAATTCACAAGGAGCTAAAGTTTGCATCGTTGCGGTTTGCAGAAGAACTATGTTAAAGAAACACCTAAAAATTACAACAAAATATAGACAATAAAACCCTGTTGTTATAGGAAACGTGCAAATTTTCCATTGTTAGTTCAAAATTAAACTACAAAATACTCTTACAAAGTTACACTTTGTCGTTTTTGCTTGTTGTTTTTATACCCTTGCAGAGCAAAGGGTATTATAGTTGCAGTCAGAAGTTTGGAACGCAGTGAAGGAGACACCTCAGACCTCATAAAGTATATATATTCTTGATCAGCATCACAATCTGAATCGAATTATGTCTGTACGCCTGTCCGTCTGTCCTCCTGTCTCTTTCTATGTAAATTAGTCTCTCAGTTTTAAAGCTATCTATCGATTGATTTTTTAATTTCTTCCAGATGGCGTTTTCTAACTACTACTACTATTGAATTTCGGATTAAATTTTCCCAAAATCGGACAACTATATCATACAGAAAAAATGAAAAATGAATAGAAAAATCGTCATATTTTCGAAGTTTTAGCCTTTTTGCATTTTGATGTTTCAGCTTGATAACTTTCAGAAAAAGAAACTAGTCATGATTAAATGCGATCGAAATTCGAATAAGGAACAATACACTTTATTGTCTGCAGAGCATCCAGCTGCAAGGGTAAAGAAACACACAGTAAGACAAAAGAACAAATTTGATTTAAGCATTTATAACTTTTTATAATCTTGCAGGGGGAATTATAAAATGTAAGTCATAAGCTTGCATTGGAGTGATGAGGACTCCTCAGATCCTATACAGAATATATCTTCTTGAACAGTACTAAATTGATCTAGATGTGTACGTTTGCCAATTTGTATTGTTTACCTATTTGTATTGTAAAATAAACACAAAGAAATATTTTATTCTTTTAAGTCTTTAAATGTTAATAATTATTTTATATTGATAATGTTTTATATTGATTCAAATTTTTTTTTTCAAATTCTCGAATGCGACACTAAAATCAACGATAAAGTTGTCCGTAATAATCTCATTGTTTTGTATATAAATTTAATTAAAAGTATAGGGCAAATAACAATGCATAATTGGTCCCATATACATACCTACTATAAATATAAGTTTACAAAACAAAAAGTGCTATAGAAAGATATTCGACCCATAATGTATTATTTTAAATTTTTTGAAAGCTTTTTTGAATTTTAATTTGTAAGACTACCTCAATAACAGCTCATAGTTGGATTTAAAAGTTGGCATGTTGTTTTCAACCCACAAAGTACAGAGTGACCCAAAAGTCTTTTTATACGTGAATTGATGATTTAAAACAAATTGCAATAGGTAAAAACTCAATGTTATTGTTTCAGTTATTTGAGAAGGGAAGCACCCGACTACGCAACATGATTTCGCGAGAGCAAGTGGACTGATCTTTTTATACCTCCGTTACCACTCCCCATTGTTGTAAAATGAAAATGGCTCTATTAATCATGCATTTATTTCTATCGAGCTTTAATGTAATCCATAGATGAGTTATTCAGCTGTGACTATGCAAAGCTCGCGGTACTTTTAGTTACCACAATAAAAACAAATTACCAATCGACTTAAACGTTACCCATTTATATTTCTTTTAAATTTCATGTTTGAGGAGAAAATGCAGATTACGGCCTATAAATATATTAAATTACCAATGTAATTAACAGTGACACGTAACATTTTTTTTCGAACTAAAAATGGAAATCCATTTCACTTGAAATCCTGTATACGTATGAAATTATTGAAAACTGGTAACTGACTGAATCTTTTTGCGCGAATATATATGTATCTAACTGGGTCTTTAAACAAGAACCATTTCGTTAACGCCATCATTATCAGGAGCAACTGAGAAAACTCAAAGGTTCTCCGAAAAAGCTCAATTCGGTGGTGGTAGTTGAACCCCTGAACCCCTCCGCCGGGAAAACTCTTATCTGGGCCACTTACCTTGTTGCCAGATCCCGATGAACGAAATTCATTTGCTCCAAGTGCTTCATGCCCGATGCAATTTGGGTGGCGATGTAGACTAAGCACCCGAAACTGCGCCGCGGACGTGTAAGGATTCCGAGTGGGAGTGGTAAGTCGAAGTCGGTGTTGGCGGAGCGGATGCGGATGCGGAAGATGACACCGCCAAATGAGAATTTGAAAAGTTTTCAAATGCGACAGCGTTGCCGAAATGGGGGTGGGCGAGCCAAGTTAACGAAGTTTTAACATCCGCTTGCGCAATTCGGTGGTTGGTTGCCACCGTCGTTGTTCGTTGGTGGATCGGTGTTATCATTGAACACGAGACCGGAAGTGTAGCGTCGGCAAAAGGCGTCGGTGGCGGAAGCCCGATAAAACGCACGCAAAAGCAGGGCGGGCAGGGGGATAAATTGGCAGGAAAGAGGGTGCAACGCATTAGTTTGGAGGTACTTTCGAGCCAACCGCAGAATGTCCTTACCTCAGGGTCTTGCTGGCCATCAGACCGCTCGTCTCGGCCACGTGCTCCTGCAGGAACTGGTTGAGGTCGCCGAGGCAGTTGGAGTAGTCCTGCACCATGCAGATGGGCTCGTCCCGCAGACACGCCCCCACCAGTCGGGCCACGTTGGGGTCGCTCAGCTGCGCCAGCTGCCTGGCTCTGCTGCGGAACTCCTGCCGCAGGACGTCACTGGCCCCGGGTCGCAGGGTGGACACTGCCACGAGGGTGGCGCTGCGGATGGGATCGAATTGGTTCAGATCAGTGAACTAATGGGTGGACAGCAGATCATTTTAGAGCTGTCGTTATTATGGGAGCATCTCCGACAGCGTGCTGAACTAAAACAAGAAACTCAAGTGCCCCGACTATCAGATACCCGTGATAAACCCCTTGACCACTACAATCTACATAAATAACCCAACACTTTGCCTATAATTTATGGAACTTGTGATCCTGGTCGGAATTACAAGCAGAACCTACCCATTTATTTGGGTCCTTGTAAGAAAGAATGTTAAGAGTATAAGTTGTTTTCTTAAATGTAGTTTATGGTATTTTACAAGCTAAACCCACCAGCAGCTCAAAGTAAATAGTTGCAGACAACTTTTTTTATTTACTCCTTCTTCGATTTCCATCTATTGTCTAGGATAATAAAATCTATCTAATAACTGTCATTCCAGTTGTCTATTAATACTTTGTCAGACTGTCACTTCCCTGGAGAAAAGCGGAAATGCGAAAGTCCTCGAAGCTGTTTCATAGTGAAGATTGCCTGAATGTGTTGCTTTCCCCAAGAGCTAATTGTTTTCCATACATCTGTCTGGAGTATCGAAGGTTTCTGCTGGATTTTCCAGCTACTTTAGGGATTAAAATAAATTTGCCTGCCTAACGTTTTTTTTGGCTTCCTTAGTTGAAACTCTGAGCAATATGGAGCTTACCTTAGCACATTTGTTTCGCACAAATGCAGCTCACCAAACACACCAGAGCCCAGTTTCTCGACGATAATCAGGGATTGGCGCGGGAACTCCTGAACTTGGTAATTGGCTCGCTCCTCGTTAATGTCGAGGGTAGCGTTGATATCCACATTGTACCGATGTGGTTTCACCACTTTTGCACTCGTGGGCGTGGTCGCTCCCGTAGTCGAGGAGTTGAGGGACCCGCTGCTCTGGGATCCTGGCGGCGGCACGAGCAAGGGTTTGCTGCAAATTGGTGTGGCCGCATAGTATTTCTCCGGCGGAGGAGGCACGGGCGGCGGTGTCCCAGTTCCTGATATGGATCCCGGGCCACAATCTAGTCCACAAGGAGGGGAGCTGGGCAGCAGCTGCTGCATGTGCGGCACCGCGTAGTCCTGACAAAGGATGTCTGGTACATCTGTAATTAAAATTGAAATATTATATTAAATAATATATTATACTAAATAATAATTAGAGGCCGAAAAGCATGAATATTCTATGTTTTTTTTCAGAAATACTTCTAAATAGTTATTACTCTCATTAGTAGCTAAATAAAAAAAATGATTAATTTCAAAATTTACGACTGTGCAGCCTTTTTGCGATGGCGTCTCCGTATTTAACCCTTTACATGGCAATATGTTAACTCCGATTTTCTTGATTTTTTTTGTTTGGTAGATAAGTGAAAATAAATAAGAAAGGAAGCTAGCTTCGGCAAGCCGAAGCTTATATACCCTTGCAGTCATCAAATATGTCGAACAAAATTCATAAAGGCTAAACAACATCGAAGCTATAACGATTTTTCTATTCATTTTCCATATTTCCGACTACGATATAGTTGTCCGATTTTGATCAAATTTAATTCGTAATGTAAGGGGGACAACTAGTGTGACATTTCAAAAAAATCTTTTTTTTTCTTTCATATTTTGGTATATAAAACCTTTAAAAATAACATATTAAAATTTCCAATCGACATCTTAAATAGTTTTTGAGTTATAGCAATTTTAAGAGCAGCCGCTCGTATGGTAGTGAATACGATAATTTTATCTTTAAACGCGTTTTTCTCGAAACTGCATTTTCCGAATTTGCTGCAGTGATAACTCAAAAACTAATGATCCGATCACTATCAAATTTTTTTTAGATGTTCTATATATAGTCCTCCCTACAATGACCTATCGGCTTTTTGATCCGATCAAAAATAGAATTTTGGCAGGCCAAAAACGACCAAAATTTTGGGTAAAATTCGATTTTTTTTTTTAAACGCCGCCCTTTTTATCAATTTTTGAAATTTTTTATTTATCGTAGGTCATTGTATGGACAATAACATCTAGTTTAACGAGAATTTTTCATTTTTTGATTTCATCCACGGAGAAGGCCGGAATCACTGCAGCAGTTGGGGCACTTTTTTTTTAGCGCCTTTGGAGATCGGCTCTAGCTTAAAAAATATTTAATTTTTTTCTTTAAAAATTTTACTGTATATTCTTCAAATATGTATAAATATATTCTGAAAATTTGAAAAGAATTGATCAAGTAGTTTTTTTTATAAAAATTCCCAAAAATCACCATTTTTTAGGCCGTAACACTAGTTGTGCCCCTTAAGAGTCGTAAGAAAACTCTATATTTCAAAAATATTGTCTGATGAAAAACCACAATGTTATAATTTTACTTCCGTTATTTCTATATAGATTTTTCGATCTTTTCTATGACACCTATAAGATATAGTTGTCCGATTTTTATGAAACTTTTTCTCAATATAAGAGTTCTTAAAAAACTTGATATTCAAAAAGCATGCTCATGGGATAAAAAACAACGATGTTATCAATTCATTTCCATTAATTCTATATATATTTTATGATCTCTCCTATGGCAGCTATACGATAGAGTTATCCAATTTTGATAAAATTTAATCCGAAATTCAATAACAGTTAGAAAACGCCATCTGGAAGAGTTCAAGTCGATCTGATGAAAAACAACGGCCTGAGAATTTTTTATTTCATTCTCTCGTATTACACACCTACTACTACTACACACCTTTTGGGAAAGTTTCAGTAAGATAGCTTTAAAACTGAGACACTAGTTTGAAGAGAAACAGACAGACGGACAAACGGCCAGACGGACAGACGTATTTTAATCAGATTGCCAGATGGCGTTTTCTAACTACTATTGAATTTCGGATTAAATTTTATCAAAATCGGATAACTCTATCATATAGCTGCCATAGGAAAAATCAAAAAATATATATATAAATAATGGAAAAAGAATTATACGTCGTTGTTTTTAATCCCACGAGAATGGTTTTCAAAATATGAAGCTTTTTAATAACCCTTGAATATAGAAAAAAAATTCCGTAAAATCCGACAACGTTATCATATACCTGTCATAGGAAATATAGAATATATATGGTAATAACGGAAATAAAATTATAACATCGTTGTTTTTCATCAGACAAGCACTATTTTAGAAATGTAGAGTTTTCCAACGACTCTTGAACTACGAATTAAATTTTATCAAAATCCGACAACTATATCATATAGCTGTCATATGAAAATTAGTCGAAAATATGGAAAATTAATAGAAAAATCGTCATAGCTTCAATGTTGTTTAGCCTTAATGTATTTTGATTGACATATTTGATGGCTGCAAGAGGATATAAGGAAAATTAATAGAAAAATCGTCATAGCTTCAATGTTGTTTAGCCTTAATGTATTTTGATTGACATATTTGATGGCTGCAAGAGGATATAAGCTTGCCGAAGCTTTCTTCCTTTCTTGTTTTTAAAATGCAGTGAATCAAAATGCAATTTATGAGCCAATTTTTGCAGCACAAGTTTTATAGCACATATGCACTGACTGGCTTAAAAACAATTAATAATTCGGTTTTAAACGCCTTTTGTTTTTCCTGTTTCCTGCTTTCTGTTGTTGCAATATTTATTTGCATGCCAAGTCCTTATGGTCACGTGCAAGTGCAAGTCGCTATGCAAAACAAAATAAATTTGAGTGACTCAAGTTTAGTTGAATTGAGTTGATTCAGTTCAGGAAGTTTTCTCCCGGCAAGAAGTTTGAAGCACTCAATTTGGAACTGCGCGAGACTGTGACGAGTCAGCCAAACTTATAATTTATCTCAGCAAAATTAAATTAATACCGCAACGAGAAAGAGGCTTGCTTGAAAATATATGTCGAGCAGAGGTTGGAACCATGACAATTATTTGCTCCCCTGTTATAAAATGCACCCCAAGGCACAGTCGAAAAACTTTTTGGCTAATGACTCGAGCGCATGAAAGGCGTGGTGTAAACGTTTATAATACGAGGTGTGTTAAAAAAGTATCGCGAATTTCGTGTTTTTTCAAAAATTATTTATTTATTCATGAATATCTATTTTGTCCCCTTCAAAGAAATCCCCATGAGATATTATGCATTTTTGCCAACGGTTTTTCCAATCTTCGAAGCACTTCAAAAAATCATTTTTTTTATCTTGTTCAGCTCCTCCTTCGATGCCGTCTTTATCTCGTCTAGCGTAGCGTAACCTCATCCTTTCATGGGCCTCTTCAGTTTAGGAAACAAGAAAAAGTCACAGGGGGCCAGATCTGGGGAATACGGTGGCTGCGGCATCATTAGTGTGTTGTTTTTGGCCAAAAAGTCGCGCACAAGCAACGATGTGTGAGCAGGGGCGTTATTGTGGTGCAAAAGCAAATTTTTGTTCTTCCACAAATCCGGACGTTTCTGGCGGATTGCTTTGCGCAAATGCATAACTTGCAGGTAATATTCCTTATTGACTGTTCTTCCCTGTGGCAAGAACTCATGATGCACCACGCCCCTGCAATCGAAGAAAACTGTCAGCAAAACTTTCACATTCGACCGAACTTGGCGTCCGACACGCTCTTCGTCGTTCACATCTTCTCGGCCTTCTGAGAACATTTTGTACCACCGATAAACGTTGCTTCGGTCCAAGGTAGCTTCAGTCAACATTCGGAATGCATCCACGCACTTAATTTCGTTTTTCACACAAAATTTGATACAGGTTCTTTGATCCATTTTTTTGAATAGGTAAAAATCGAAAACGATCCAAAAAACGTGCAAGCAAAGCAGCTGTCAACAATTAAGTGAACATTCAAAATGGCCGAGCTTGTCGGCATAAGTGAGAGACATGAGTAAGCCACAAAAAATCGAAATTCGATACGAGGTAACCCGCGAAAATTCAAAATTCGCGATACTTTTTGAACACACCTCGTATAACTGCTCAGTGTTGCCAGTTTAGCTTTTTATAAGCTAGCGAATTTGAAACTAGAAAAGCTTGAAAAATTTCCATCTAGCTTATAGCTTGAAATATAGCTTATTTTAAAATTCATCTAGAATATTTTAGCTTATTATGTATTTTCGACATAAACGGGAAGATTTGTACGAAAAATATGCTTTATGGCATTGATTCCCAAAGTGATCCAGGTTGACCACTAGGGGTTCACGGGAGACTCGATGGGGGTCTACGTTCCGCGTGACAAAAAATGGGGGTCTGCACTTTGTGTACGGGAGTGCATGAAATTTAATTCGGTTTCGATAGTGAAGAATTAAAATGTTGGTTTGACTTCTTCTATCAATATCGGCAGATAATGTTTTAAGAAGCTCAGCGACTGCTACTTGTAAAAATATGTACATATAATAATATTCCTTATTCAGTACAACAGTGAAACAGAAGTGGAGAATGTGATATTACAAGAGGAGCTACTCGAGCTTAGCACTAATGAGGAGCTGAAAGTAACATTAAAAAAAGGGTATCAACAATTTTGTCTGCGGGCAATAGCGCAAAAGCTTCTCGTCGAAAAAAGTTTTAGTGCCGTTACAAACTTATTACCAAAAAAAGGAGCAGATTGAATATCACAGAACGGGGAGATTTGCGGTTATTACTTACAAAACTCAAGCCAAATATTGATAATTTGCTAACAAAACATCAAGTACATCCATCTCATTAAAATTATATATTTTTCGTAATTACCATTGTAGAAGTTACATTACGTTATAAGTATTTAATTTTTATTACGCTACGACTGTTATAACAATAATAATTAATATTGTAATATTTTCAATATTTGAATAAATACCTACAGTGGTGGCCGTAAGTATTTTGTCAAAATAAAAGTGAAATATACTCGAAACCTGAACTTGCTTCTTTTAACTTTTGGTATCAATGGAAAGGTAATTCAAATGCCGTTTGAATGATACGATACTTTTCTCAACTGATTCGATAATTATTGAAAGGGGCAATTTAAAAAAAAAGTAAAAAAAAAACTTTTTCCCTCGGCTTCAAAACTAAAATTTTTGGATGCAAAAAGTTTCTTTAATAAAAAATAATAGGAACTGCAAAAAGAATTTTTCAAAAATAATTTGTCTTCTATTTTTTATGATTTTTTGAAGGTGACAATGTCAGAAA